AGGCGAAGGTCAGTTTCTCCATTACAGGGTATCGAAGTTTGGTGCTTTTGAGGATCTAGGTAGTATAGTACACTGTATGTTGTTTTTGAGTTCTTCTTTAACCAAGACAGAACTGACAGCTTCAGAGCCGACTCCAAGATAAAGGTAAAGTTTTTCCTTCGATTTTGAACTCTAAAGGAGAAGAGGAGAGGCGAGGAATTGCTTGATGCTCTTGAAGGCCTCCTTGCATTCTAGTGTTTATTCGAAGCATTTGGCTTTCTCGAGTAATTTGAAGAATGGGACCCACTTATCATCTGACTTGAAAATGAACCTGCTCAAACCCGCAATCCGACCGACCAGTTTCCGGATTTCTTTGGTATTTTTAGGGTGGATATGTCGAGGAGCGCTTGGATCTTTTCCGAGTTAACTTTTATGCCTTCAGGGGTTAGCAAGTACCCCATGAATTTGACTGTCGTGGCTACAAAGATACATTTCAGTTGGTTTAATTTCATGTTCAATTTTTTAAGTTTTAGAACGATTTTTTTTAGATCTTCAATGTATTGCTCGGTTGACCGACTCTTAACTAGCACATCATCAACATACAACTCAATATTTCTTCCCTTCTGATTAGCAAAATATACATTCATGAGGCGTTGGTAAGTCTCCCCCGCATTCTTAAGCCAAAAGGACATTACATTATAACAATAGGCTCCCCAACTAGTAATAAAAGAGATTTTTTTTACATCAGCAGGATGAATTTTAATCTAGTGATACCCGAAGAACGCGTCGAGGAAGCTTAGGACTAAATGGCCGACGTCGAAAGCATCAGTGCATCGATCCTTGGAAGTCCACACACATCCTCATTTTTTCGTTAGCCTCCTGCACCATCACCACATTGAAGTCCTAGGTGGGGTATTGCACCTCTAGAATGTATCCTGCCTCTTTTAACTTTCGTAGCTTCCCCGAATGGGTCTCTTCAATCTCAAGACCGAGCTTCTAATCTTTTGCTTTATGGGCCGACCCGATAGATCGACGTTCAAACTGTGACAGGAAGCATCGATCGGCACGCCTACAAATTCAGCGGTCGTCCATGCGAACACATCCTGATTTTCTTTGAAGGTTTGAATTAGCAACTCACTATGTTTTGCATCAAAAGCTTCACTTATCAAAAAACATTTACCTGCCTTCCCCTCGATAGTTGGGACTTCACGGGTGATCTCATTGGTCTCGAGGCCACATTCCCTTGCATTCTGGATGTCCAGAAAGAATCATGTTCCATGTTGCATATGGCTCGCAAGTAGCAAACTCGTGACTGTTCCATATCACCTCTGACTGTGATGATTTCTCCGTCTCCCCACAGAAGAGGACAGGAGGGGGGGGGGGGGGGGGGGGGGGGGGGAACGAAAAGCAATTTACGCTGACGGGGTATTTCCCCCAGCTTAATGGGAGCCCGATTACCCCCAACGCTTCCTTCCTTTCGCCTGAGAATCCATACAGTGGTCCGACCGATAAAGTCATCCGATCGGAAATGAGACTCAGTTTGTCGAATACCTGCTTGAACAGTACATTCACAGAGCGCTCAATATCGATGAGGACGCTTCCAACTTGATAATTATTTATTATTTTCATTATCACAATAGCATCGTTATATGGATTTCCCTTCGGGAGTAGATCCTCATCAGTAAAGTAAATAGGCGGGCGACCCTAGGGTTTCGGGGAAAAGACTGCGACGCAAAGTTTTCCTGTTTGTTGTCTCTTCTTATTTACCCTCCTAGGTGATTCTCTTCCTCCAAAGATTGCAGTTACGTACCCCGCGATCCAAATAGATTTGGTGCGGATGGGTCTGTCTGTTGTTCTTCTCGTGGGAGCTTTGCCCTGCCTCTGAGTCTCGGCTCTAGGAGTGACAATTCTTTTAGCTTCCCCTGCTTTATCAACTCTTCGATCAGGTTCTACAGTGCCTGCATTCCTTTGTCTCATGCCCGTGATCTCTATAATATTTGCAATACTTCCTGCTATCTCGAAGAAAGGCGCTGACTCTCATCGGGGTTGCCTTTCTAAAAAATTTCTTATCTTGAATGGTGTTCACTATTTCTGCCATGAACACCCTCAGTGGAGTTTCTTGAGGGACCCTAGGATTACCTTGAGATTCATGATCCACAGAAGAGGACAGGAGGGGGGGGGGGGGGGGGGGGGGGGGGGAACGAAAAGCAATTTACGCTGACGGGGTATTTCCCCCAGCTTAATGGGAGCCCGATTACCCCCAACGCTTCCTTCCTTTCGCCTGAGAATCCATACAGTGGTCCGACCGATAAAGTCATCCGATCGGAAATGAGACTCAGTTTGTCGAATACCTGCTTGAACAGTACATTCACAGAGCGCTCAATATCGATGAGGACGCTTCCAACTTGATAATTATTTATTATTTTCATTATCACAATAGCATCGTTATATGGATTTCCCTTCGGGAGTAGATCCTCATCAGTAAAGTAAATAGGCGGGCGACCCTAGGGTTTCGGGGAAAAGACTGCGACGCAAAGTTTTCCTGTTTGTTGTCTCTTCTTATTTACCCTCCTAGGTGATTCTCTTCCTCCAAAGATTGCAGTTACGTACCCCGCGATCCAAATAGATTTGGTGCGGATGGGTCTGTCTGTTGTTCTTCTCGTGGGAGCTTTGCCCTGCCTCTGAGTCTCGGCTCTAGGAGTGACAATTCTTTTAGCTTCCCCTGCTTTATCAACTCTTCGATCAAGTTCTACAGTGCCTGCATTCCTTTGTCTCATGCCCGTGATCTCTATAATATTTGCAATACTTCCTGCTATCTCGAAGAAAGGCGCTGACTCTCATCGGGGTTGCCTTTCTAAAAAATTTCTTATCTTGAATGGTGTTCACTATTTCTGCCATGAACACCCTCAGTGGAGTTTCTTGAGGGACCCTAGGATTACCTTGAGATTCATGATATTGAAACAATCGGTGGTGCGGAGCCTTCACTGGCCTCCTTTGATAGCACGACCATATGATCGGTCGTAGAGTTTGTCTAGGCGGCCTTCAGTTGCCTTGTTATGGCGTCTTCTAGTGTCTTTGTTCAGCGGGTTCCAACAACTCGGCCAAGCTCGGCCAAGCTCTGCAGTTATGAGAGGTCGAAGCGGAACCTCCTGAACTCACCCCTTGTATCAACACGACCTGGCCCATGTCAAATTTCAGGTCTTTCACATCTAGTGTTTCCCTCTGGAATTGGGCGATGAACGATCGCAAGCTCTCGTTGGCCCCCTGCTGCAGTTGTCATAGGTGTCATGGATGTCGTCCGCGCGTCCGAGGCCGCAAAGCTTTGGCGAACTGCGATAAGAAGAGTCTCCTGAACTCCGCAAAACAGGTGATTACCTCTGCGAGTAACCCATCAAACCACCTTAGCGCAAATAATCTCAACATCGTAAAGAATAACTTGCACTTAAGAGCGTCAGAGGTTTTTAACAGGTATATGGACGATTCAAATGATGTGAGGTGGTCATTAGGATCCAACCGCCCTTTGTACGGTTCTAAGGTGGGCATCTTGAACTTCTCCAGGGTTTCAGCTCCTGAGACCTATAGGGAGAAGGCATTTTCCGGCTGCTGCTTTATCTCAGTCCATGCTTATCGATTCCTCTTCTCCACAGGGACGAATTTGAAGCTGTCTTGATACAACCCATCGGGTTTCTCTTGCAGGTGGATCACTCTCCTTCAATTGTTTGACGGAGGCTCCCCTTGAGGGGGGTTAAGTACTTTTTGTTGTGTCGGTTCTCCTTCTGGAATCCAGATTGCTCCCAAGGCAGCTACGGCTCTAAGCACCTCTGTAAATTGTCCTGATATTTAGCTGATGATATGGGTTCTCAAATATTGCAGACCTTGTTGAACAAATTCCTCCATGAAGTCCCTAGTACATCCTGCTTCTACCATGTTTCTTTGACTGAATTCTCCCTATTGTTGTCACTGGGCATTCTTGTTGACGACATGTTTCCACGCTCACCACACCTTAAACGATGTTGAATCCAAAAGTGTCCAGGAAACACACCCAAGGTATAAAATGTTTGCAGCGAGATTTAAGAGAGAGAGTGTAGTAGAGAATTACAAGAATGTGTAACCCTTATTCATGGTGTAGGTCCCTATTTATAGGGATAGACTTCAGTCTTAAAAAATTACAAGTCAATCCCCTTATCATTAGCTTTTAGAAGGGTTATTTAGTAATGACAAAGATATTTGAATATAATAAGCATGTCAGATTAGTGTCGGTCGGCAAGAAGTCCGTTGGTTGTTTATCTGACCTTAATTCCATCGATATTTGATCCAAAACTCAACAATCTACCAATCAACCTTAAGGTCGATGGTCATCCGGTGGGAAATCTTCAGGCATGTCCTTACGATCGATTGATCCAAACGCCTCCCTTGCTAGCATTACTTCATCAATCCCTAGGAATGTCGATCGATCGTGTCATCCTTCTGAATCGTTCGTTCTACTTTGAGATCCGTGTTGACATATTTTTTGTATATATAAAACTAACACACAACTACTTCCATTTACAATAATATCGTTACAACCAAAATCTCCAAGAGCATAGGAAAACCTGGACCAAAAGACCAATATTTTTTTTTTCACTTGCAACAAATTCTCTACGAGTTAAATTTTGATGGGCTAAAATACATATATTTACTAGTCATCTTTTTACTAGGTAGGATATTAGATATGTAAACAAGGAAGATTTATATAGTATGACAATTACTTTTGCCTAAAAATCTTCCTAAATTTTATTTTTTATATTTCTACCACCCAAATCCTTTATATTACATCACTATTTTATCTTCTAAAACCGAAATACACCCTCTCATGCATAAATAAGGTGGTATATATGTAAAAATTGAAGTTTAGGTGTTAGATATGTAAATACATAGGATTTGAATGGTATGCATGTAAATCTTCCTTAATGCAGAGTTCCACACTAAAACTTTCACAGCATGTATAATCTGCAAAAAACCAGAAGAATATACAAATTTACCTATCATATAAGCCTGCACCAGCATATCCTTCCAAATCTTCACCATTTGAATCTGACCTGAATATAATGGACCGTTTAATGAAGAGGCCAATAGGTTTACTAGGAAAACCAATTACCTGTAAAGTAAAAAAATATGAAATTTCACAACGGGGAGAAAGAATGAAACAAAATTATAAAATTGAAATCGAAACATACCTTCGGAGAGTTGAGGTCATTTTTGTTACAAATAAAGCTAAGAGCTCGACCCGGATAGGCGCCAACGAGAGTTTCTCCCAGTCCTTTAACCACCTGCGAAAGCCTTAATTTTAACAACTGTGTAGCAAAGGGTTCTCTCTACAAGCTGTAATTGAATATTTACATATATGTCACTTAGGGGTGCAAGTGCGTCAAGCAAAATTGTGAGCCGGCTCGAGCTCGGCTCGATAAGTGGCTCGTGAACTAAACTCGATGAGCTAATAAGCCAAGCTCAAGTCAGCCCCGACTCGACTCGTTAGCTCGTAAGCTGACTCGTTTAAAAAAATATTAACAAAAATATACTCAAATATATTAAATTTCAAAAATTTTATCTTTAAAGTATTAAAATTGTTAAGAATTTTTTTTTTTTTTTTGTATATTAGGAGATTTCTTATTATTTATCCCCTAATTGTTTATTATACTAATCAACTTATTATAAAGTTATTTAAAATTAATATTATTTTCTCACTTTTTAGATTAAACAAGCTCGCTCGCGAGCCGGCTCGAACTCTTAGACTTAAGCTCAAGCTCGAGCCTCGATAAAATTAAACAAGCTCAAGCTCAAGCCGAGGCAGCTCGAGCTCGACTCGACTCGTTTGCACCCCTAATGCCACTCAATTTATATATATTTACATATTTAACACCTAAACATAAATTTTTTCATATATATGGCGCCTCACCCACGCATGAAAAGGTGCATTTCACTTTTTAAAAATCAAAATAATGGTGTTTTTGATGTGATATGAAAGATTTTGGTAGTATAAATGTAAAAAAGTAAAGTTTTGATTACAAATATGTAAATACATAGGAATTGGGTGGTATGACCGTAAATGCCCCAACTAAACAAAGGGACATTTACCAATTCTTATGTGTTTACATATCTGACACAAGAATTCATAGTTACATGCATACCACTCGAATCTTTAATTTACTTCTTGATCATTTACTCTCATAGTTAACTCTCCTTTTTGAACATCTATCATAGCTTTTCCAGTAGCTAAAAATGGTCTCCCTAAAATGATAGGTATTTCTTTATCTTCCTCCATATCTAAAACAATGAAATCCACATGAAAGATAAATTTATCAACTTTTACTAACATATCTTCTATCACTCCCTTAGGATATGTAACTAAAAGATTTGCTAATTAAAGAGTTACAGAAGTAGGTGAGACCTCACCTAATCCTAATCTTTTGAAGATTGATAGAGGCATAAGATTAATGCTG